CAAATGCCAGAATCTTTGACAGATACGAACATTTACTTAATTGATTCAATATTTCATATGTCAAAATGTATTTCATGACAGTAAACTGAAACATTTTCTGTGGTCAATGTATATTCAAACCTCTTTTCCCCATAATTTGGCAGACTATGAGAATAGAGCTTTAGAGATGCATTTTAAGCATCTTCCATCCAAAATGCTCAGTCCTGTTCCTTCCTCCCCAAAGGATATCCAAAAAAGAGGAAAACAATTCAAAGGACATTAGTGTATTACTGCATTACTGAAGTGAAAAAAATGCAGAAAATTATGAAATTTCAAGTAGTTTGAATAGATATTGTAGAAATCATCCTATCAGAAGTTTTACCCCATCCCTAAAATGGCTTATCAATTTATGTTCCCACAATAACAATTCCTAGAGTCTTCCTACAAATCCAGGAAATTTTACACACCCCCGCCCCATCCCCCAAGAGGAGGTAGGAGGGAAAAGGACAGAAAGAGGGGACCTGGTAAGCGTTCATTTCTTTAACTGATTAATAACAAATTAACTGATTAATACCAAAATTTCCTTACAGATACTACTCATCGACTTTCACAGACTTCTTTTTTTTTAAAGGCCATTTTCAGAAGGACAAAATACCGAGACAAGAAGGTGGCTGAACCAACCTTCTTAAACACAAAATAGCGTACAGACAATACAAGGCTTAGGAGAAAGGCATTATTTTTTTTTTCCCCAAGATATGCCACATAACCATGATCTTATCACACAGCTCTGTCTGCAAGTTCTACATTAGGGCATATCTCTATAGGAATTTATAATTAGGACACTAGGAAGTGGTTAACATAGACGTAAATTCTGCAATTTTGAATACCAATATGTTTTTATCCACGATCATTTTTTTCAAACAGGCTATTTTAAAGGAAAAAAAAAAAATCCATTCAACAAGTTTCATTTGACTTTTACTTATGGTTGAATACACATGAAATGTGCTTTCAATGCATAAAAATCACAGTGGATAGCAGCAAAGGACTTGGGGGAAATTAAGGAGAATTTGATCATTCACATTGTGATTAATCTGCACATTGATGAAAAGATAGCTATTTCACACTTCTAAAAATAAACTTGAGATCATTCTTTCCAAAAAAAAAAAAATCCCCCCAAAATACACAAAAAAAACCCCAAACAAACATAAATTCAAATGCGTTACTTTTCTTTTACACACAAAAATGAAATATTTTTATGGCAGCAAAAGATTTTGATAATAATGAGAGTCTGTAAACTGTAATTCAATCTCTTTTTGTTGTTGTTGTTCCCAAAGTGCAAGATGCAAGATTCCCATAAGCTTTCAGTAGTGCTTCTCCTGTAAATAATCCTTCATTTTGTTTGGCAAAGGCAGTTTCTGAATCAGGTCTATTCTGGTGTACTGACGTATTACAAAACGACACAGGTATTGTAAAGAACGCACCTGCATAAACCGAGATACTGGATTTGTCAGTCTCACTGGGTAAGTTGCTGATCCAGGCAGTCGGGATCTCGAATAGCAGAAAGCTCCATTTTCAGAGTCCCTGATTGAATGTTCAATTAAGTCAACTATAGATGTATGTCCCTCCACATCTGGTTGTTCATAAAAGCTAAACCTACCATTTGAGTGTTCAATTCTAGTGTGAAGAGTTTTTCCATGGGAACGAAAACTCAAACTTAAAAGATAACGATCATCAGAACTATCTCGAACAAGAAACGAGCCATCAGGCACATTAGCTAATTTTCCCTCTGCCTCCCAACGTGTAATGGGGCCCCAGTACCATCCTTGTTTTGCAAGTTTTTTCAGTTCTTCTGTGAGACTTGTCACAACCATAGGACCACTGTTCTGTACAGAATCATAAACTCTTCCAACTCCAGGGGCAGTGTTAGGATCAAAATTCAAATGGCAGCGCATACTTTCAGCCACGTGAGCATCTGTGCCATTCAATCCATTGAAGTTCCTTTGGATTTGATTATTCTGCATTGGAGGTAGCAAAGGTGAGAGTGGAGGGACATCACTGTGATTAACTCTTGGGCTTTGCAACATGACTCCTGTGGTACCAATTAACAAACCATTCACCGTCTGGTCCACAAAGATGTCCGGTGGAACGACTACATCCTGATCCACTTGGTTCTCTTCTTCATGGAAAGCATTTCCCCCCACTTGAGAAGAAACAGTTGAAACTTCCATGGGTGAGGAACTATCCAGACAGTAACTACGTGATCCTTCCAAAGGATACATTCCCTCATCTAAAGGCACAGTATACTGAATGTAGTCCTGAGGCATTAATCCAATAACTACAGGCACATGTTCATCAATATGAAGATGCAAGTCCCCGTTCTGAGATTCCGTATTTTTTAATGCATTGTTTTGTTCCTGGAACACGTTGTCTGACTGCAAGTCATGGAAGTCCTTTCGAACGCCATTCAGTGCTGGGCTTGGATTAGAGGAATGGACCAAGGCCTTGACCTTCACTTCCATTTTGATGCAAGTCTCTTCTGAATTTGTAGGTCGAAGAGGCCACGGAGTTGGACTGTAATGGTGATTACGGAGGGAAGTGGATCTCAGAGGTCTTTGAGCTCTCACATCTTTGAAGGTTATTGGAGCAGATGAGGAAGAAAAGGTGTCATCATCTGCAGAGCTTACAGATGGTGTGCTGCCTTTGCCTTTCTGTTTTTGTTTTGCTGAAAGCCTCCTTTTTAACGTACCCATTAAGCTTTCACTTTTTGATCTATTTTTGCCTCCTTTTTCATCTTCACTATTGACTTCACAGCTAGCCAAATCTTTACCATAGCAGCTGCCAAACAAGGAGTCATCTTTTCCAAA